ACACAGAACACACAGTACACACACAGCAGTACACACACAGTACACACACACAGTACACACACACAGTACACACACACAGTACACACACACAGTACACACACACAGTAGACACACAGTACACACACACAGTACACACACACAGTACACACACAGTACACACACACAGTACACACACACAGTACACACACAGTACACACACACAGTACACACACAGTACACACACACAGTACACACACAGTACACACACACAGTATACACACACAGTACACACACAGTACACACAGTACACACACACAGTACACACACAGTACACACACAGTATACACACACAGTACATACACACAGTACACACAATACACACACACAGTACACACACAGTACACACACACAGTACACACACAGTACACACACAGTACACACACAGTACACAGTACACACACACACAGTACACACACAGTACACACACACAGTACACACACAGTACACACACACAGTACACACACATAGTACACACACAGTACACACACACACACAGTACACACACACAGTACACACACACAGTACACACACAGTACACACACAGTACACACACACAGTACACACACAGTACACACACACAGTACACACACACACAGTACACACACACAGTACACACACAGTACACAGTACACACACAGTACACACACAGTACACACACACAGTACACAGTAGACACACAGTACACACACACAGTACACACACAGTACACACACAGTGCACACACACAGTACACACACACAGTACACACACAGTACACACACAGTACACAGTACACACACACAGTACACACACAGTACACACACACACAGTACACACACACAGTACACACACAGTACACACACACAGTACACACACAGTACACACACACAGTACACACACAGTACACACACAGTACACACACACAGTACACACACAGTACACACAGTACACACACACAGTACACACACACAGTACACACACAGTACACACACACAGTACACACACACAGTACACACACACAGTACACACACAGTACACACACACAGTACACACACAGTACACACACAGTACACACACACAGTACACACACAGTACACACAGTACACACACACAGTACACACACACAGTACACACACAGTACACACACACAGTACACACACAGTACACACACACAGTACACACACAGTACACACACACAGTACACACACACAGTACACACACAGTACACACACACAGTACACACACAGTACACACACACAGTACACACACACAGTACACACACAGTACACACACACACAGTACACACACACAGTACACACACAGTACACACACACAGTACACACACAGTACACACAGTACACACACACAGTACACACACAGTACACACACAGTACACACACACACAGTACACAGTACACACACAGTACACACACAGTATACACACACAGTACACACACAGTACACACACAGTATACACACACAGTACACACACACAGTACACACACACAGTACACACACGGTACACAGTACACACACAGTACACACACAGTACACAGTACACACACAGTACACAGTACACACACAGTACACACACAGTACACACACACAGTACACACACAGTACACACAGTACACAGTACACACACAGTATACACAGTACACACACACAGTACACACACACAGTACACACACACAGTACACACACAGTACACACACACAGTACACACACACTACACACACACAGTACACACAGTACACACACACAGTATACACACAGTACACACACACACAGTACACACACAGTACACACACAGTACACACACACAGTACACACACAGTACACACACACAGTACACACACAGTACACACACACAGTACACACACACAGTACACACACAGTACACACACACAGTACACACACAGTGCACACACACAGTACACACACACAGTACACACACAGTACACACACACAGTACACACACAGTACACACACACACAGTACACACACAGTACACACACAGTACACACACAGTACACACACACAGTACACACACACAGTACACACACAGTACACACACACACAGTACACACACAGTACACACACAGTACACACACACAGTACACACACAGTACACACACACAGTACACACACAGTACACACACACAGTACACACACACAGTACACACACAGTACACACACACACAGTACACACACACAGTACACACACAGTACACAGTACACACACAGTACACACACAGTACACACACACAGTACACAGTAGACACACAGTACACACACACAGTACACACACAGTACACACACAGTGCACACACACAGTACACACACACAGTACACACACAGTACACAGTACACACACACAGTACACACACAGTACACACACAGTACACAGTACACACACACAGTACACACACAGTACACACACAGTACACACACAGTATACACACAGTACACAGTACACACACAGTATACACACAGTACACAGTACACACACACAGTACACACACAGTACACACACAGTATACACACAGTACACAGTACACACACACAGTACACACACAGTACACACACACAGTATACACACACAGTACAGACACAGTACACAGTACACACACACAGTACACACACACAGTACACACACAGTACACAGTACACACACACAGTACACACACAGTACACACACAGTACACAGTACACACACACAGTACACACACAGTACACACACACAGTACACACACAGTACACACACAGTATACACACAGTACACAGTACACACACAGTATACACACAGTACACAGTACACACACACAGTACACACACAGTACACACACAGTATACACACAGTACACAGTACACACACACAGTACACACACAGTACACACACACAGTATACACACACAGTACAGACACAGTACACAGTACACACACACAGTACACACACACAGTACACACACAGTACACAGTACACACACAGTACACACACACAGTACACACAGCACACACAGTACACACACAGCACACACAGTACACACACAGTATACACACGGTACACACACAGCACACACAGTACACACACAGTACACACACACAGTACACACAGTATACACACAGTACACACACAGTACACACACACAGTACACACACACAGTACACACAGGATACAGTACACACACAGTACACAGTACACACACAGTACACACACACTACACACATACTACACACACAGTACACAGTACACACACAGTACACAGTACACACACAGTACACACATACAGTACACAGTACACACACACAGTACACACAGTATACACAGTACACACACAGTACACACACAGTACACACAGTATACACACAGTATACATTACACACAGTATACACACAGTACACACACAGTACACACACAGTACACAGTACACACACAGTACACACACACAATACACACACAGAGTACACACACAGTACACACACACAGTACACACACAGTACCTACACACACACACAGTACACACAGTACACACAGTACCCACACACACACAGCACACACACACAGTACACACACACATTACACACACAGTACACACAGTACACACACACAGTACACACACACAGTACACACACAGTACACACACAGTTCACACAGTACACACACACAGTACACACACAGTACACACACACAGTACACACACAGTACACACACACAGTACACACACAGTACACGCACACAGTACACACAGTACACACACAGTACACACACACAGTACACACAGTACACACAAACAGTACACACACAGTACACACACAGTACACACACACACAGTACACACAGTACACACACAGTACACACTACACAGTACACACACACTACACACACAGTACACACACAGTACACACACAGTACACACACACAGTACACACACACAGTACACACACAGTACACACACACAGTACACACACACAGTACACACACAGTGTACACACAGTACACACACAGTGTACACACAGTACACACACAGTACACACACAGTACACACAGTACACACACAGTACACACACAGTACACACACACAGTACACACACTACACACACAGTACACATACACAGTACACACACAGTACACACACAGTACACACACAGTACACACAGTACACACACAGCAGTACACACACAGTACACACACAGTACACAGTACACACAGTACACACACAGTACACACACACAGTACACACACAGTACACACACACACTACACACACAGTAGTACACACACAGTACACACACAGTACACACACACAGTACACACACACAGTACACACACACACTACACACACACTACACATACATTACACACACACAGTACACACACAGTACACACACAGTACACAGTACACACACAGTAAACACACAGTACACACAGTACACACACAGTACACACAGTACATACAGTACACACAGTACACACACAGTACACACACAGTACACACAGTACACACACACATTACACACACACAGTACACACAGTACACACACAGTACACACAGTACACACACATTACACACACACACAGTACACACACACACAGTACACACACACAGTACACACACACAGTACACACACAGTACACAGTACACACACAGTACACACACAGCACACACACAGGACACACACAGGACACACACAGTACACAGTACACACACAGTACACAGTACACACACAGTACACACACAGTACACACACACAGTACACACACAGTACACACACAGTACACACACACAGTACACACACACAGTACATTCACAGTACACACTACACACACTACACACACACAGTACACACACACAGTACACACACACAGTACACACAGTACACACACTACACACACTCTACACACACAGTACACAGAGAGAGATAATACTGACAGCATGTGAGACATTAAGACGTTTCAGTCCAGCAGTGTATCGATCCTACCCAAACGGGATAATCCACAGTGGTGGGGTTGGTGGGTCTGGTGGTGTCATCACGACCTGGGGTGTCCGACGTTTTACAGACTCCTCCTGTGGGCTGGGATACAACAAAGATACAGGCACTCCGTGTAGCCTCTAACAGACTGTAGGGTCAAGTACTCACTCACTCACCTACTCACCCACTCACTCACCTACTCACTCACCCACTCACTCAGTCACCTACTCACCCACACACTCACCCACTCACTCACACACTCACCCACTCACTCACCCACTCACTCACTCACCCACTCACTCACCCACCCACTCACCTACTCACTCACCTACTCACCACCCACTCACTCACCCACTCATTCACTCACTCACCTACTCACCCACTCACTCACTCACTCAGTCACCCACTCAGTCACTCACTCACCTACTCACTCATTCACTCACTCACCTACTCACTCACCCACTCACCCACTCACTCACACATTCACCCACTCACTCACCCACTCACTCACTCACCCACTCACTCACCCACCCACTCACCTACTCACTCACCTACTCACCACCCACTCACTCACTCACCCACTCATTCACTCACTCACCTACTCACCCACTCACTCACTCACTCAGTCACCCACTCACCCATTCAGTCACTCACTCACCTACTCACTCACCCACTCACCCACTCACTCACTCACCCACTCACTCACTCACTCACCCACTCACTCACTCACTCACCCACCCACTCACTCACTCACCCACTCACCCACTCACCCACCCACTCACTCACTCACTCACCCACCCACCCACTCACCCACCCACTCACCCACCCACCCACCCACTCACTCACCCACTCACCCACCCACCCACCCACTCACCCACCCACCCACCCACTCACTCACCCACTCACCCACCCACCCACCCACTCACCCACTCACTCACTCACCACTCACCCACCCACTCACTCACCCACTCACTCACCCACCCACTCACCCACCCACTCACTCACTCATTCACCCACTCACCCACTCACCCACTCACTCACTCACTCACCCACTCACCCACTCACCCACTCACTCACCCACTCACTCACTCACTCACCCACCCACCCACTCACCCACCCACTCACTCACCCACCCACCCACTCACCCACCCACCCACCCACTCACTCACCCACTCACCCACTCACCCACCCACTCACTCACTCACTCACCCACCCACCCACTCACCCACCCACTCACCCACCCACTCACCCACTCACTCACCCACTCACCCACCCACCCACCCACCCACTCACCCACCCACCCACCCACTCACCCACCCACCCACCCACCCACTCACCCACTCACTCACTCACCACTCACCCACCCACTCACTCACCCACTCACTCACCCACCCACTCACCCACCCACTCACTCACTCACCCACTCACCCACTCACTCACTCACCCACTCACCCACTCACCCACTCACTCACCCACTCACTCACTCACTCACCCACTCACCCACCCACTCACCCACCCACTCACTCACCCACCCACCCACTCACCCACCCACTCACCTGTGTCACGGCTTGGTCTACCCTCAGGAAGGTCACTCGGTCCTCTCCCGATGTGGGCACGCTGACCATCAGCTCCACCGTGGCCGGGATGGAGCCCAGGTTCTGAGCCTGGAGGAGGACATGGAGGAGGAGGTGGTGGTGGTGATGGTGGTGGTGGTGGTGAAGGTGGTGGTGGTGGTGGAGGTGGTGGTGGTGGTGATGGTGGTGGTGGTGGTGAAGGTGGTGGTGGTGGTGGAGGTGGTGGTGGAGGAGGAGGTGGTGGTGGTGGTGGAGGTGGTGGTGGAGGTGGTGGTGGAGGTGGTGGTGGTGGAGGTGGTGGAGGTGGTGGTGGAGGTGGTGGTGGTGGTGGTGGAGGTGGTGGTGGTGGTGGTGGTGGTGGTGGTGATGGTGGTGGTGGTGGTGGAGGAGGAGGTGGTGGTGGTGGTGGAGGTGGTGGTGGAGGTGGTGGTGGAGGTGGTGGTGGTGGTGGTGGAGGTGGTGGTGGTGGTGGTGGTGGAGGAGGAGGTGGTGGTGGTGGTGGTGGTGGAGGTGGTGGTGGAGGTGGTGGTGGAGGTGGTGGTGGTGGAAGTGGAGGTGGTGATGGTGGTGGAGGTGGTGGTGGTGGAGGTGGTGGTGGTGGTGGAGGTGGTGGTGGTGGAGGTGGAGGTGGTGGTGGTGGAGGTGGTGGAGGTGGTGGTGGAGGTGGTGGTGGAGGTGGTGGTGGAGGTGGTGATGGTGGTGGAGGTGGTGGTGGAGGTGGTGGTGGAGGTGGTGGAGGTGGTGATGGAGGAGGAGGTGATGGTGGTGGAGGTGGTGGTGATGGTGGAGGTGGTGGTGGAGGTGGTGATGGTGGTGGAGGTGGTGGTGGAGGTGGTGGAGGTGGTGGAGGTGGTGGTGGAGGTGGTGGTGGAGGTGGTGGAGGTGCTGGTGGGAGGGAGGGAGTGGCTGATGATGATGATGTTGATTCTGACGATGAACCTCACTGTGAATGACAGGCTGACTTGCTTATCTTCCGTTTCACTCTTGTTGAAACTCAGATGCAGAGAGTCCGATCTGCAACACAACAACAACATCAACAACAACAACATCAACAACAACAACAACATCAACAACAACAACATCAACAACAACAAGATCAACAACATCAACAACATCAACAACAACATCAACAACAACAACAACATCAACAACCATCGCAACACAACAACAACAATTCGGCATTCCATGGCGGTACCGGTCCAGCTCCTGACGGAGGAGTGGCAGCCTCTCCTCCACATACACCAGAGGACAGTCCACCAGACTTCCAGTTCTCCACAGAGCTCCAGGAGGTACCGGTCCAGCTCCTGACAGAGGAGTGGCAGCCTCTCCTCCACACACACCACAGCCAGTCCACCAGACTTCCAGTGCTCCACAGAGCTCCAGGCGGTACCGGTCCAGCTCCTGACGGAGGAGTGGCAGCCTCTCCATTCGCCACCAAGCGACGGTGACGCCAACCGCGCCGCCTGTGCCAGGCTAGGTGCACTTCAAGGCCACGTGAAGTGTCAGACCCAGCAGGTGCCCGTGGGTTGACTGCTGGTGCTGTGCCAGGCTAGGTGCATGAGGAGGAGGTCACGTGACAGACCCAGCAGGTGCCATGGACTGACTGACTGAGATGACTGAGATGACTGGCTGATGCACCACCTGTGCCCCCTACTGTGCCAACTTGCTGTGCTTTAGCCACCCGGCGCTCCGCTCGTTGTTGTGAGCGTCGCTCCTCCGCCCTCCGTTGTTGTTGGAGGGCGACTGCCTCCAACTGCCCAGTAGCGTCCTTCACGAGCCTCCTCCACAGAGGCCGATCTTGACACCGCTGGTACCAGTCATCGGCAAGTCCACTCAGCTCCACGTCCTCCTGTACCACATCACTCCATCTCTTCTCTAGCCCGTGCCGCGCCCGCTTAGCCCCCTCAATCCGGCCAAACAAAAGCTGTTTCGGCATGCGGTGGCTGGGCATGCGGGCTACATGACCCAGCCAACGCAGCCTTGCCCGCCGGAGGAGCTCACCGATGGGACCTTGCCCAGATCTTTCAAGGATTTGTGAGCTCCTCACACAATCCAGCCTAGTTAAACCCAGGATGGATCGTAGGCAGGGCCAGCCTAAATGTTTCTAACCGGCGAAGATGTTCCATTAGGGGGGTCCACGTTTCACAAGCGTAGAGAAGGGAGGGAATGACCGTGGCCGAGAAGACCTGAAGCTTAGTGCGGAGCGACGGACCAGGTAGCTTCCACACAGCGCTACGCAACCGATGAAAAGATATTGCCGCTCGACTGATTCGGAGTGAGACCTCTGCCGTCAAACCGGAGCCGGTCACAAGCACAATGCCCAGGTATGGGAAACTCTCCACTCTCTCCACAACTGCCCCATCACCGATTGGGAGTTGTGGGGGTGTGGAGTGTCCGATGGTTACAAAATACCCAGGCAGGGGTGCTTAGTTTTGGTGGGGCTGATGGTGAGGCCCCCACAACTCTTAGCGGCAAGCTCCGGTAAGAGATGGCGCACAGGCTACACAAGCACTAAAATAAAAAGATAAAGATCCCCCGTATAGCCTGCAACAGGCTGTAGGGGCAAGTGCTGTTAGCGAGCGGCACCTGTGAAGGCCGGATCGGTGCACGAGGGGGTGGGTGGCCAGCCCCACGCCCGACCGCCTTTGTCTCCCCAGTGCTAGCGATGTTCACTACACACCGCTACGCCGGGTACTCATTTGAGGCCGAGTCGACCTAGAGGAGGTACCCTTGGAGAACGGCGTTGACGGCGTACAGCAGCGGGCGCTGCACCGTGGCGGAGTTGTCCATCAGCGTCGACTTGTCCTCGTTGGTGCTGAAGACACCGCAGAGAGACACCGCACGCAGTTAGACACACACGCAGTTAGACACTCACGCAGTTAGACACACACGCAGTTAGACACTCACACTCAGTTACACACAGTTACACACACACACAGTTAGACACACATACAGACACTCACGCAGTTAGACACACACACAGTTACACACACACACTGACAGATACACACACACACACAGTTAGACACACACAGTTACACACACACACAGTTACACACACACACAGTTACACACACAGACAGTTAGACACACATAGTTACACACAGTTACACACAGTTACACACACACACAGTTACACACACACACTGACAGATACACACACACAGACAGTTACACACACACACACACAGTTACACACACACAGTTACACACACACAGACAGTTACACACACACACAGTTACACACACACAGTTACACACACACAGTTACACACAGATACACACACAGTTACACACACACAGTTACACACACTCAGTTACACACAGTTACACACACACAGTTAGACACACATACAGACACACAGTTACACACACACAGTTACACACACACACAGTTACACACACACAGTTACACACACACAGTTACACACAGATACACACACACAGTTAGACACACACACAGTTACACACACACACAGTTACACACACACACAGTTACACACACACAGTTACACACACACAGACACACACACACAGTTACACACAGATACACACACACAGTTAGACACACACACAGTTACACACACAGACACACAGTTACACACACACAGACAGTTACACACACACAGTTACACACACACAGACAGATACACACAGTTACACACACACACAGTTACACACACACACAGTTACACACACACACACTTACACACACTGTTACACACAGACAGTTACACACACACACAGTTACACTCACACAGACAGTTACACTCACACAGACAGTTAGACACTCACGCAGTTACACACAGATACAGTTACACACAGATACAGTTACACACAGATACACACAGTTACACACAGATACAGTTACACACAGATACACACACACAGTTACACACAGATACACACACACAGTTACACACACAGTCACACACACACAGTTACACACAGATACACACACACAGTTACACACACACAGTTACACACACACAGTTACGCACACAGTTAGTTACACACACACAGACAGTTACACACACACAGTTACACACACACAGTTACACACACACAGGTAAACTCACACACACATTTACACACACACACACACACAGTTACACACACACAGACAGATACACACACACACAGTTAGACACACACAGACAGATACACAGTTAGACACACATAGTTACACACACACAGTTACACACACACACACAGTAACACACACACACGCAGTTACACACACACAGTTAGACACACAGTTACATACACAGTTACATACACAGTTACACACACACACAGGTACACACACACAGTGACACACATACACACAGTTACACACGCAGTTACACACACACAGTTAGACACAGACACACACACAGTTAGACACACACACAGTTAGACACACACACAGTTACACACACACAGTTACACACACATACAGTTACACACACACACAGTTACACACACACACACAGACAGTTACACACACACAGTTACACACGCAGTTACACACACACAGTTAGACACAGACACACACAGACAGTTACACACACACACGTAGTTACACACGCACAGAGTGACACACACACAGTTACACACACACACACAGTTACACACACACACAGTTAGACACACACACAGTTAGACACAGACACAGACACACACACACACAGACAAACACACAGTTACACACACACACATACACACAGATACACACAGACACACAGTTACACACAGACACACACAGTTACACACACACAGTTACACACACACAGTTACACACAGATACACACACACAGTTACACACACACAGTTACACACACACAGTTACGCACACAGTTAGTTACACACACACAGACAGTTACACACACACAGTTACACACACACAGTTACACACACACACAGTTACACACACACACAGTTACACACACACAGGTACACTCACACACACATTTACACACACACACAGTTACACACACACAGACAGATACACACACACACAGTTAGACACACACAGACAGATACACACACAGTTAGACACACATACAGACACACACACACAGTTAGACACACATAGTTACACACACACAGTTACACACACACACAGTAACACACACACACACGCAGTTACACACACACAGTTAGACACACAGTTACATACACAGTTACATACACAGTTACACACACACACAGGTACACACACACAGTGACACACATACACACAGTTACACACGCAGTTACACACACACAGTTAGACACAGACACACACACAGTTAGACACACACACAGTTAGACACACACACAGTTACACACACACAGTTACACACACACATACAGTTACACACACACACAGTTACACACACACACACAGACAGTTACACACACACAGTTACACACGCAGTTACACACACACAGTTAGACACAGACACACACAGACAGTTACACACACACACATAGTTACACACGCACAGAGTGACACACACACAGTTACACATACACACACAGTTACACACACACACAGTTAGACACACACACAGTTAGACACAGACACAGACACACACACACAGACAAACACACAGTTACACACACACACATACACACAGATACACACAGACACACAGTTACACACAGACACACACAGTTACACACACACACAGTTAGACACACACAGTTACACACACACACAGACAGACACAGACACACACAGACAGATACACACACACAGTTACACACACACAGTTACACACACACAGACAGTTAGACACAGACACACACATACAGACACACACACAGTTACACACAGACAGATACATACAGACAGGTAGACACACAGACACACACAGACAGATACACACAGAGAGTTAGACACACAGACGCACACACAGCTACACACACACAGTTACACACACACAGACAGATACACACGGACAGTTAGACACACAGACACACACACAGTTACACACATACACAGACAGTTAGACACAGACACACACAGTTAGACACACATACAGACACACGCACAGTTACACACACACAGTTACACACACACACAGACAGATACACACACAGACACATACAGTTAGACACACAGACACACACACACACAAACAGACACACACACAGTTACACACACAGTTACACACACACACAGACAGTTAGACACAGACACACACAGACAGTTAGACACAGACACACACAGACAGTTAGACGCACACAGTTAGACACAAAGATAAAAGATCCCCCATATAGCCTTAACAGACTGTAGGGGCAAGTGCTGTTAGCGAGCACCTATGAAGGCCGGAACGGTACACGAGGGGGTGGGTGGCCAGCACCACGCCCGACCGCCTTTGTCTCCCTAGTGGCAATGTTTACACACCGCACCAGGTACTCATTTGAGGCTGAGTCGACCTAGGGGAGGCCCGGGACCGGTTCAGATAATCGTCACTGGTGTTGGCCGTGAGCGGGAATCGAACCCGGGTCGCCAGGTTCATAGCGCAGCGTAGCGCTAACCACTACACTACCGCTCCCCACTCACGTACACACACACACGTACACAGACACACACGTACACACAGTTACACACACACAGACAGGTAGACACACACACAGTTACACACACACATACAGACAGTTAGACACAGACACACACAGTTAGACACACACAGTTACACACACACACATACAGACAGTTAGACACAGACACACACAGTTAGACACACACACAGTTACACACACACATACAGACAGTTAGACACAGACACACACAGAAAGATACACACAGACAGTTAGACACACAGACACACACAGACAGACACACACACACAGACAGTTAGACACAGACACACACAGTTAGACACACATACAGACACACACACAGATACACACACAGTTACACACACACAGTTACACACACACACACAGACAGTTAGACACACAGTTAGACACACATACAGACACAAACACAGTTACACATACACACAGCCACAGACACACACAGAAAGATACACACACACAGACAGTTAGACACAGACAGTTAGACACACACACACAGACACACACAGACACACACAGACACACAGACACACACAAACAGACACACACACAGACAGTTATACACACACACACACACAGACACACACAGACACACAGACACACACAGACACACAGACACACAGAAACATACACAGACACACACACAGACACACACACACAGACACACACACAGACACACACACACAGACACACACAGACAGACACAGACACACACACAGACGCACACATACAGATACACACACAGACACACACACAGACACACACACAGACACACACACACAGACAGACACAGACACACACACAGACACACAGACACACACACAGACACACACACACAGACACACACACAGACACACACACACAGACACACACAGACACACACAGACACACACACACAGACACACACACACACAGACACACACACACAGACACAAACACATACACACACACAGACATACACACACAGACACACACACACAGACACACACACAGACACACACAGACACACACACAGACACACACACAGACACACACACACAGACACACACACACAGACACACAGACACACAGACACACACAGACACACACACACACAGACACACATACACACACACACACACAGACACACACACACAGACACACATACACACACACAGACACACACACGCAGACACACACACAGACACACACAGACACACAGACACACAGACACACAGACACACACACACACAGACACACACACACACACACAGACACACACACAGACACACATAGACACACACACAGACACACACACAGACACACACACACAGACACACAGACACACACACACACAGACACACACAGACACACACACACAGACACACACACAGACACACACACAGACACACACACAGACACACACACACACACAGACACACAGACACACACACAGACACACACACACACACAGACACACACACAGACACACACACACACACAGACACACAGACACACACACACAGACACACACACACACAGACACACAGAGTCATGGTGGTGAGTAGTTGGGATGAGGGTGAGTAGTCCTCACCAGGTAGCTGACACAGCGATGGTGAGCGATGTGTCAGCCGTGTCATTACAGGCTGCGTCAAACACGAACCTCAGGCTCACCTGGCAGAGAGAAGGAGGTTGACTCACTCACCCACTCACTCATCCACTCACTCACCCACTCACTCACTCATCCACTCACTCACTCACCCACCCACTCACTCACTCACTCACCCACTCACTCACCCACTCACTCACCCACTCACTCACTCACCCACTCACTCACTCACTCACCCACTCACCCACTCACTCACCCACTCATTCACTTACACACACACTCACCCACTCACTCACACACCCACTCACTCACTCACCTACTCACCCACTCACTCACTCACTCACCCACTCACTCACCCACTCACTCACCCACTCACTCACCCACTCACTCACCCACTCACTCACCCACTCACTCACTCACCACTCACCCACTCACCACTCTCTCACTCACCCACTCACTCACTCACCCACTCACTCACTCATTCACTCACTCACTCACCCACTCACTCACCCACTCACTCACTCACTCACCCACTCACCCACTCACTCACTCACTCACCCACTCACTCACTCATCCACTCACCCATTCACTCACTCACCACTCACCCACTCACCACTCTCTCACTCACCCACTCACTCACTCACCCACTCACTCACTCATTCACTCACTCACTCACCCACTCACTCACCCACTCACTCACCCACTCACTCACCCACTCACTCACTCACCCACTCACTCACTCATCCACTCACCCACTCACTCACTCACCACTCACCCACTCACCACTCTCTCACTCACCCACTCACTCACTCACCCACTCACTCACTCATTCACTCACTCACTCACCCACTCACTGACCCACTCACCCACTCACTCACTCACCCACTCACTCACTCACCCACTCACCCACTCACCCACTCACCACTCACCCACTCACCACTCTCTCACCCACTCACTCACTCACCCACTCACCCACTCACTCACTCACCCACTCACTCACCCACTCACCCACCCACTCACTCACCCACTCACTCACCCACTCACCCACTCACCCACCCACCCACTCACCCACCCACCCACTCACCCACCCACCCACCCACTCACCCACCCACCCACCTCTGTAGAAGCTCTCATCACCGGGTTGTCAACAGAACACACGAGATGCCCGTTCGTGAAGGAGCAGTCAAAGTTCCTTAGAGCCTGCGCCATGACACAGTGGGTGGGTGGGTGAGTGGGTGGGTGAGTGGGTGGGTGGGTGAGTGGGTGGGTGGGTGAGTGGGTGGGTGAGTGGGTGGGTGGGTGAGTGAGTGAGTGAGTGGGTGAGTGGGTGGGTGGGTGAGTGAGTGAGTGGGTGGGTGAGTGGGTGAGTGGGTGGGTGAGTGGGTGAGTGGGTGAGTGAGTGGGTGGGGGGGTGGGTGAGTGGGTGGGTGAGTGGGTGAGTGAGTGGGTGAGTGGGTGAGTGGGTGGGTGGGTGAGTGAGTGAGTGGGTGAGTGAGTGAGTGGGTGGGTGGGTGAGTGGGTGAGTGAGTGGGTGGGTGGGTGAGTGGGTGAGTGAGTGGGTGGGTGAGTGGGTGGGTGAGTGGGTGAGTGGGTGGGTGGGTGAGTGAGTGGGTGGGTGAGTGGGTGAGTGGGTGGGTGAGTGAGTGAGTGAGTGGGTGGGTGAGTGAGTGAGTGGGTGGGTGGGTGAGTGGGTGAGTGGGTGGGTGAGTGGGTGAGTGGGTGGGTGAGTGGGTGAGTGGGTGGGTGGGTGAGTGAGTGAGTGAGTGGGTGAGTGAGTGGGTGGGTGGGTGGGTGAGTGGGTGAGTGAGTGGGTGGGTGGGTGAGTGGGTGGGTGAGTGGGTGGGTGGGTGAGTGAGTGGGTGGGTGAGTGGGTGGGTGAGTGAGTGGGTGGGTGAGTGGGTGGGTGGGTGGGTGAGTGAGTGGGTGGGTGGGTGGGTGAGTGGGTGGGTGGGTGAGTGAGTGGGTGAGTGGGTGAGTGGGTGGGTGAGTGGGTGGGTGAGTGGGTGGGTGAGTGGGTGAGTGAGTGGGTGGGGGGGTGGGTGAGTGGGTGAGTGAGTGGGTGGGTGAGTGGGTGGGTGGGTGGGTGAGTGGGTGGGTGAGTGAGTGGGTGAGTGGGTGGGTGAGTGGGTAGGTGGGTGGGTGGGTGAGTGAGTGGGTGGGTGGGTGAGTGAGTGAGTGGGTGGGTGGGTGGGTGAGTGGGTGAGTGGGTGGGTGAGTGGGTGAGTGGATGGGTGAGTGGGTGAGTGGGTGGGTGGGTGAGTGAGTGAGTGAGTGGGTGAGTGAGTGGGTGGGTGGGTGTGTGAGTGGGTGAGTGAGTGGGTGGGTGAGTGGGTGGGTGAGTGGATGAGTGGGTGGGTGGGTGAGTGAGTGGGTGGGTGAGTGGGTGAGTGGGTGGGTGGGTGAGTGAGTGGGTGGGTGAGTGGGTGAGTGAGTGGGTGGGTGAGTGGGTGAGTGAGTGAGTGGGTGGGTGGGTGGGTGAGTGAGTGGGTGAGTGAGTGGGTGAGTAAGTGGGTGAGTGAGTGGGTGGGTGAGTGGGTGAATGAGTGAGTGGGTGAGTGAGTGGGTGGGTGGGTGGGTGAGTGGGTGAGTGGGTGGGTGAGTAAGTGGGTGAGTGAGTGGGTGGGTGAGTGGGTGAATGAGTGAGTGGGTGAGTGAGTGGGTGGGTGGGTGAGTGGGTGAGTGGATGGGTGAGTGAGTGAGTGAGTAGGTGAGTGAGTGAGTGAGTAGGTGAGTGAGTGAGTAAGTGAGTGAGTGAGTAGGTGAGTGAGTGAGTAGGTGAGTGAGTAGGTGAGTGGGTGAGTGAGTTGGTGAGTGAGTGAGTAGGTGAGTGGGTGAGTGAGTTGGTGAGTGACTTGGTGAGTGAGTGAGTGGTTGAGCAAGTGGGTGAGTGGGTGAGTGAGTGGGTGAGTGAGTGGGTGAGTGGGTGGGTGAGTGGGTGAGAAGTGAGTGAGTGAGTTGGTGAGTGAGTGAGTGAGTAGATGAGTTGGTGAGTGAGTTGGTGAGTGAGTTGGTGAGTGAGTGAGTTGGTGAGTGAGTGAGTAGGTGAGTTGGTGAGTGAGTTGGTGAGTGAGTGAGTGAGTTGGTGAGTGAGTGAGTTAGCGGCACCCACGGAGGCTGAGGTGGCGGAGCGGAATTGCAGGTTCCCCGGCACGGTGAGGGTGAGTCGTGTGGAGTACGACTCCTCACGGGAGTTCCGTAGAGTCACGACGCTCGTGAGGTTCTGGAGCTCACCCAGCAACAGGGGCCCAGAGCTGAGACGCAGAGACACGGGGGGAGAGAGAGACACGGGGAGAGAGAGAGACACGGGGAGAGAGAGAGACACGGGGAGAGAGAGAGACACGGGGAGAGAGAGACACGGGGAGAGAGAGAGAGACACGGGGAGAGAGAGACACGGGGAGAGAGAGACACGGGGAGAGAGAGACACGGAGAGAGAGAGACACGGGGAGAGAGAGACACGGGGAGAGAGAGAGACACGGGGAGAGAGAGAGAGACACGGGGAGAGAGAGACACGGGGAGAGAGACACGGGGAGAGAGAGAGACACGGGGAGAGAGAGACACGGGGAGAGAGAGAGACACGGGGAGAGAGAGACACGGGGAGAGAGAGACACGGGGAGAGAGAGAGAGACACGGGAAGAGAGAGACACGGGGAGAGAGAGACACGGGGAGAGAGAGAGACACGGGGAGAGAGAGAGACACGGGGAGAGAGAGACACGGGGAGAGAGACACGGGGAGAGAGAGAGACACGGGGAGAGAGAGACACGGGGAGAGAGAGAGACACGGGGAGAGAGAGACACGGGGAGAGAGAGACACGGGGAGAGAGAGAGACACGGGCAGAGAGACACGGGAGAGAGAGACGCGGGGAGAGAGAGACACGGGGAGAGAGACACGGGGAGAGAGAGAGAGACACGGGGAGAGAGAGACACGGGGAGAGACACGGGGAGAGAGAGAGACACGGTGATAGAGAGAGAGACACGGGGAGAGAGACAACCATAGAAACCTGTTGAGACACCCACAGAGACCCACAGAGACACTGCCGCTCGACTGATTCGGAGTGAGACCTCTGCTGTTAAACTGGAGCCGGTCATAAGCACAATGCCCAGGTATGGGAAACTCTCCACTCTCTCCACAACTGCCCCATCACCGATTGGGAGTTGTGGGGGTGGAGTGTCCGATGGTACAAAATACCCAGGCAGGTGCTTAGTTTTGGTGGGGCTGATGGTAAGGCCCCACCTCTTAGTGGCACGCTCCAGTCTCAGCAGCAGCGTCTCCAACTCCTCCTCTGACTGAGCAGCTATTACCAAATCATCAGCATACATAACGTGGTTGAGCAATAGGGAGCCATCCCTTGACCGCACCCGGGCATCGATCAGCCTCCCATTATATCTGTACCATATGGAGATTCCCCCGGTACAGCTATTGAAGGCTTCACGAACTACGTGGTCAAAATAGATGTTAAATAATGTGGGAGCCAGAGGACATCCCTGTCGCACCCCAAGGTGTACAGGGAATGGCTCTGACTCCCGGCCACGTAGTTTTACCCGGGCCCGCTCACCATCATGAAGGTCCTTAATGATCGTGAGCAGAGGGTCAGGTACTCCAAAAGCACGAAGAACGACCCAGAGCCCAGGCCTACTGATGGTATCATAGGCCTTGACCAGGTCAATAAAGCAGAGATGTAGGTCTTGTTGGAATTCCCTACACCTCTGCTGTAGCAGACGGACAGAAAATATGGCATCTGTGCAGGACCGCCCTTTCCTGAAACCACATTGGGGCTCCGCAAGCCTCTCCTCAGCGTGCCTGGCAAGGCGATGCTGAATAATCCTTGCCAGGACCTTTCCCGGCACACTGAGGAGTGAGATGCCCCTGTAGTTGTTACAGTCTGTGCGGTCCCCCTTCTTAAAAAGGGGGACCACCAGGGCATCCTTCCAATCCTGCGGATTGGAAGGATGCTCCGCAAGCCTCTCCTCAGCGTGCCTGGCAAGAGTTGCCCGTCCGGCAAAACAACCCCCTACCTCCTCGCGGTGCCGGACGGGCAACTCTGTCGTGGACAGTGCTGTGGGGGGAGATCCAATTTTGATTGGCTCCTCCCCTCATGGCATATGTGTCCACCACAGGGGCTAAACGGGGGCTCTGGACGGGTGCGAGGGGCTGGTAACCCCTTCACCTTCAATTAATTACCACGAAACCACGAGTTAAACTGAAATATGTAACACACAGACACACACAGACACACACACATAGACACATACAAACACACACACACACATAGACATATACACACACACTCATAGACAC